ACTAGCTATCAAGCTGAAACTTTCAGGATAGCTTAGAAACTGATGACAATGCAATCTTTTGTGAAAAAATTAATTTTAAGAATATTTTTTAAAAAGAATAAAATAATTATAGTAGATTTCTATAATAAAACTTTGAGCAGGTTTTCCTTGGCCCCAAGAAAAAAACCCATGGTGAACTGAATTGGTCGCAGAGGTCCGAGTTCAATCCCACCCCCTGGAACATTTTTTTTTTCTAATTAATTAACACGTTTTTTTTATTAATTAACACGTTTTTATTAACTCGCTTTCTTGTCCGTTTGTTTGTCAGGATCAAATTTTGCAACTCAAATTTTGCTCACTTCCTGATTAGCTAGCAAGCTGAAACTTTCAGGATAGCTATTAGAAACTGATGACAATGCAATCTTTTTTGAAAAGAATAATTATAAAATTATTTTTTAAAAAGAATAAAATAATTGTAGTAGATTTCTATAATAAAACTTTGAGCAGGTTTTCCTTGGCCCCAAGAAAAAAACCCATGGTGAACTGAATTGGTCCATCACCAGAACACCTTCTTCTCTTGTGCCCAGAATTCCACAGAAACAAAAAAAATTTAGTAGATTAAAAAATTAATCTAAAAAACCACGTTTTCAAAAAGCAAAAAATAACCATTAACGTGGTGCGCATGGAGATTGTTGGGAAGAAGTGAAATACAAATGAAATAGATGCGCACCACATTTAAGGTTATTTTTTGCTTTTTGAAAACGTGGTTTTTTAGATTAATTTTTTAATCTACTAAATTTTTTTCCTGCTCATGGAAATACAGAATGCTTTCAATTTTAATAAAGCCACTACAAATATTTTGGAAACAAACTTGATTCTTTCTGCATTAAAGTTTTCAGAATGTATTCTCCAAAAAAGATCCACATTGCACTTGTTTCAAGAGCTTTTTTCAGCCTGGGGTTTCAAGTTGATCATAATGTATAGTATCCTGAATTGCTGTAAATGTCAAGGAGTCAAGGTCTATTTTCCTCTTTGATCTTCATTTCATGAGTTCAGTAACAGAATGAATAAAATCCAAGAAATATCATTTTAATAATTTTTTATTTGGTCTCAAACTATTGTATATAAAATACACATATATACAGCAGTACTCTGTACAGTACTGTAAATAGTCTGGCATGAAAAAAGTTGTCTACTGAAAGGTCTTCTATACTGAAACACACAATTGAAATAAAGAAAAAATCTGCTGGCATGCAGTTGTATATTCTTTGGACATGTTCTTGGTGCTTTATTTTGAAAAAAAAGATAGCACATCAGCATGTGTATTTATGCTATGTATTTATAGGCACCAGCTGGTGTGAAGAGGAACTTGATCAGGACTTATGAGGGCTGGAACAGAGAAATGAATGGGCGCCTGGGAAGCAGTGTCCTGAGGGCCAGGTCTCTTGCAGCCCTGGCCTGGTTCAATGCTGTGGTCCAGGAAAGGCGCAGCTACATTCCCCAGGGCTGGACCAAGTACTACGAATTTTCATCTGCTGATCAACGTTGTGGGGTGGACATCTTGGACAGGGTCCTGACTGAGGCCCAAAGAGGTCATTAATAATATGAAAACTGTATATTACATCATTCCCATCAATCTAAATAATTAATTCCTGAAATGATGATTTATATATGTACTGTATATGTTGGACTGTAAATGAATTTAAATGTACTCTGATTCAAATATTGCAGGAAGAAGAGGAGTCAAGTGGGAATTCATCCATGAGTTGTACTTGAATGCAGTTTATGGAGGCAGAGTGGAGAGCAGTTATGATTTGCAAGTCATGGCATCTTATTTGCAAGACTATTT